GGAGCAGGCTAAGACCATGTTTGAAGGCTATGGCAAGAATAATAGGGATATGTGAAAGGAGTATGTGACCTGATGGGGGAGAGTTTGAACCTTCTTGGAAGAACAATTTTTTTGGGGGGAAGGGGGATGCAAGTTGCTGGTTTTGCCTAGTCTAGCACCGGCCCTGCCCGCATATCACATACCTTGCAGAGTACCAGTAAAAGGGCTCATTCACACAGGCAGAAAAAAATGCTGAAACACATGATCACATGTAAAGTCATCCACAGCTAAACTGTCTTCAGAGACTGACACTTCTGAGAGTGTCGGTGTTCTGTGTCCCCTGAAGTGCTCCGTAGCTCCTCCTGCTGACCTTCACTCCTCACAAGATCCAGTAGTTACATGTAGGTCAACAGGAGGAACTAGTGAGCACTGCAGAGGACAAAAGAGACTGAAAGGAAGTGTTGGTTCTGGGAAAACCTTTAGCAAAACATTAGCCCCTCTGTATCACAGCAGTGACATTTTTGGTGAGATACACCCAAAGAGAAATCATGTCTAAAGAAATTTAGGGTATTTCAAATCCTCAGACCTGTGAAACGGATTTCTCTCCTCTCCTAGCAGGGAAGACAGTATGGGCTACTGCAATTTGCGTCCATACATTTTGTATGGACACAAATTGCACCGCAACGTATCGGTACTCGGTATCGGCGAGTACTTGACTGAAAGTATTGTTACTCGTACTTGCCAATCAAAAAAAGGTATTGGTGCATCCCTACTGGCCATAGATGGTTAGTTTTTTTCCCGCCAGCGGGCTGAACACAAAAAAGTAACAGATTCCTCCATCCACACAAGCGACGCTGATGGGGAAGTCCATCCTGTCAGGACATTGTAGTCTGACAGTGGGGCTCTCAGCAGTCACAATACACAGATCAGCAGCTGCAGCCGCTGACCGACAAAAGTTTTTCAACATTCCCATTCATCATAAGTTGATCTTTAGATCAGTTTCTGTGGAACAGGAGCAGATTCACGTCAATCGCAATTAAGCTGGTCCCTGCTGACCTGTCCAAATTTGGACCCGTCTATGGCCAGCTTAAGCCTTTACTGTAATTTGTAAAGTAATTATGTGATAAGGATTAACAAATTAACATTTGGTGAATAGTTTCCTGTAAAAGGAATAAAATGGTGCTTTGCCTGCCACCTGTCTTGGCAACTTGCTGTCCCTCTCCTGGAGAGACAATTCACAAGATATAGGGGGCACAGGACAAATTGCAAAAAGTGGTGGGAGGGACTATCCCACAGAAAGCAGGACACATGGAAACTATGGAGCCAGCATTCAGGACTACCATTCATGTATAAGTATAGTGCTTTCATGCTGAAAGAGCAAGTGATGCATGTTAAAAAGTTGGCACCCCATGTTTGCACACACCATCAGATATCTGCCAGAACAGTCTTGGAGACCGAAAACCCATGGTGCTTAATAATACAGTACAAAAAGAATTTCAGCTCCAAACTCATATTATGGCCTGCCCTCTTAATGCTATTGGTCAATTGGTCAAAGAATTTTGCAATTGTGTCTACTATTGTATAATTGCATAATGTAAGAGCCACCGCAGTTTCTTGGGTGGCTCACTGTCCAAGACTAGAGCCAAATGCCCCTTTTATTTAAAATTACAAATTGCCCTGATTAACTTCTACTGATATTAGAACATTTATAAAGCTGTGCTTCTTTCATGGATTCCCACTCCCTACTTGCTGCAGCAACAAAAACTAAAAATTAAGTATTAGTTCAGTACTCATAGGATGTTTTGAGACCCAAGACATCTATCTTCTAGACTGCAGAGTGGGAGGTTCCTTCTTTGGATGCCCACATTGCTGCCTGGGTAATGTGAACACTTCCTATTGGTTGTCCAATGATTGGGTCCTCTAGGGCTGTGGTATGGTTATGTCATGACAAGGGAAGCAGCCATTGGCAGACCCAAACTGCAGCACTGGATCACCAATCCCAACTCACATAAGCGGTGCTGGTAAAAGACCCTAAATACAGGACTCAGGTAAAAAAAATTAAAACCAATGTGTGCATGGGTGGGAACAGGGTTGGGGGGTAAGCATTAGCCTGAAGATAGGTTTGAATATACAGTCATAAAGTTGCAATCAGTTGCAAATTTTACCTTTAAAATGCAAACCCAAGTAAAAGGTGAAACCAATCAGTAAACTGCCAATGTTTTCTACAATTCATTGTAACTTTCAGAAATCCCACTTACTGTGCTTTAATCTAAATTCATTGTAGTCTTCCTGAAGCCAGAAATCACAGAGACACTCACATATGTGGTGGTGGGGTCTACTCCCGAAAGCCTGCCCTTCCTTCCTTTCTCTTTGCTTGCTTTATCATCCATTATCTTCCAAGCCAGGCTTAAACCTGACTGCTGGGTGAGAGAAACTTTGTACTATTGACACAGCAGGCATTGTGAGAGGGACAGCAAGGAGCATCAGTGGTGTATTCAGGTTTTGTGCTGCCCTAGGCAACGCAAAAATCATCTGCCCCCACAGACACAACCAACACCACCCCCCTTCCCCCTCCCATGGAGAGAGCTTGACATTGAACAACAACACCCCTGTCCACCACCTGGTTGAGCTTTCCATAACCCCCTACCCCTGTCAATAAAGAGAAAGACACTCATCTTCACAGCTCCAGACATCCCCGGGAATGAAAGTCAGGTTCTACATACACCATCAAGCAGCCCGGCAGCCTCTCTCAGATCCCACCTGGTTCCCATGGTACGCGTGTCCTTTCTTTCATCCCTTCTTCTGGGGGGAGGTGCTGTCCCCCTGAAAAATGCTGCCCTAGGCAAGTGCCTTGTTTGCCTTGTGGTAAATACGCCCCCTGAGGAGCATGCAGTAGGTGTGCTTTGGGAACAGCTTTCTTTTACCAGAATTAGATTTGCAAATGATGCTCCAAGGTCACCAGATTACCAACAAATGAAAGTCAGATAACTTACGTTCTACAGGAATGCCTGGATGAAAAACTCAAGGCTTGAGCAATGAAATTCTGTTTCCTATATGCATCTGAAGATTTAAACTAATCTCCAGACAAAAAAAAATGCTACCATTTCTCCCTATTAACTCTCCTATCCATTTACCATTAAAAAATACCTTCCAAAGCCCTTTTCTAATTATCTGAACCCACTGTCATGTGTCACTTGCCTGTGCCTCTTCTGTTAGTGGAGACCAGTGATTCAGTGCTACTTCTGGCTGCTGCTGGTTGGCCTTGCCACCACCCCTCAACAGGAAGTCACCACACCACTAGTGTCTTCAGGACCTGTAAAGACTCTGCTAATGGACAGCTAATGGGAAGTGTCCACGTATCCAGGCACTGATGCGGACATCCAATGAGGGAGCCTCCCATTCCACAGCAAGGAATAGAGAAGTATTAAGAACCAGCAGCATGTTTTATGTCTATACATTTGGGTGGGGGTGGGGGTATTTCTGAGAGATGGGGGGGGTTTACTGATAAGAACACAGTTTTAATATTAAAGAGATTCTGTCACTTTGCCCACTTTGTAGAGCAAAGGCTCCTGAAAGCCCTCCCACTCACAATTAACTTCAATGTTCCTCAAAGAGAAAAACTCATGCCAGATGGTGTTGGAGCTTACACTGGATCAACAGCCATTGCCCTAGGAGGAGGTCACATGTTGGACCCACACCCAGAAGGATCAGGTATTTAGTGAGGGCTCTGATAGAATAGAGGGGCAGTAAGGGGAAATTGAGATAAAGTAGGTTTAGGGGTGGACTACAACCTTCAATGAGGAAAGTCTCTAGGTTTTGAATGAAGTGTACCTTTCACCCAATCCTCCTAGCCTTTCACAAAAAAAAAGGACCTTTCAAAGCTCCTTTCGTCTCATTTGAACTTGCTGCCATGTGTCCCTTTCTTTGGCCTCTTCTGCCAGTGGTGACCAGTGATCCAATGCTACCATTCCGATCCACTGCTGGCAAGTCTTGCCGCCAACCCTCGACATGATGTCACAATGCCACCACTGGTGGTGTAAAGACCCCGCTGATGGACAGCCAATGGGGAGTGTCCATGTAACCTGGCAGTGATGTGAACATCGAAAGTAAGACCCTCTCACTCTTAAGAGAGATTTTATTTGACTATAGATATGGGTGGGGTTATTATTTGTGAGGGAGGGGCAGAGTTCCCTAACCAGAACACAGTTTTAATACTAAAGAGATTCTGTCACTTTGCCCATGTATGGCAAAGTCCCCTGAAAGCCCTCCCACCCATATTTCACCTCAATGTTCCTCTAGGAGTCAAACTCATTCCAGTTGGTGTTGGAGGTTACATAAAATCTACAGCGATTGCCCTGGGAGGGGCTCACATGCTGACTCCACACCCAGAAGGACCAGCTATTGACAGAGCAATTTGGAAGTGAGGAGAAGTTGCATATCAGTGGGTTTAAAGGTGGACTACAACTTTCAATGGGCAAAGCAGAATCTCTATATGCTTTGACTGAAGTGTACCTATAGTGTCCTGTTTTGGCTAACTCTACACACATGTGTTAATATACACTATATACTATATACACTGTCCACAAAGTTTAGGAGGTGTCTATGGGAATGTTTGACCATTCTTCCCGAAGCACATTTGTGAGATCAGGCACTGATGTCGGATGAGAAGGCCTGGCTTTAATTCATCCTAAAGGTGTTGTATCGGGTTGAGGTCAGGACTGTGTGCAGGCCAGTCAAGTTCCTTCACCACAAACTGTTCCCAGAAAGTTGGGAGCATAAAATTGTCCAAAATGTCTTTGTATGCTGATGCCTTAAGAGTTACCTTCACTGGAACTAAGGGTCCAAGCTCAACTCCTGAAGAACAACCCACACCATAATCCCCCCTCCACCAAACTTTACACTTGGCACAATGCAGTCAGGCAAGTACCGTTTTCCTGGCGACCACCAAACCCAGACACGTCCATCAGATTGCCAGACAGAGAAGCGTGATTGGTCACTCCAGAGAACACGTCTCCACTGCTCTAGATTTCAGTGGCGGCGTGCTTTACACCACTGCATCTGATGCTTTGCATTGCACTTGGTGATGTAAGGCTTGGATGCAGCTGCTCGGCCATGGAAACCCATTCCATGAAGATCTCTACCCACTGTTGTTGTGCTAATCTGAAGGCCACATGAAGTTTGGAGGTCTTTAGCTATTGACTCTGCAGAGACTTGGCGACTTATGCACACTGTGCACTTCACCATGTGCTGGCCCCGCTCTGTCATTTTACGTGACCTACCACTTGGTGGCTGAGTTGTTGTTGTTCCCAGTTGCTTCCACTTTGTTATAATACCACTAACAATTGAGCGTGGAATATTTAGTAGCCATGAAATGTCACGGATGGACTTATTGCACAGGTGGCAACCTATCACAGTACCACGCTTGAATTCACTGAGCTCCTGAGAGCGACCCATTCTTTCCCAAATGTTTGTAGAAGCAATCGTGATTCATCACTTCAGAGAACATGTCTCCACTGCTCTCTGGACCCAAATCTCTGAGGAATGTTTCCAACACCTTGTTGAATCTATGCCACGAAGAATTAAGGCGGTTCTGAAAGCAAAAGGAGGTCCAACCCTGTTCTACAAGGTGTACCTAATAAAGTGGCGGGTGAGTGCTACTCCACTTTGTTTGCCCATTTTACTATTTCTAATGAATCACCAGTTAACTTTACATGATTTAATCCATAGAGATCATGTGACTAAATTGTGCAAAGAAACATGAATTTATGGAGGCATGCAACACTCCCGGCTGACCAGTCTTGGAGAATAATCAGTTGGCTAGATTGGAATTTCCCTGAGGAGAAAATAGCTTTAGAGGTGTCTGCACATTGAAATCCACGGGATGAAAATGCAATATGTGTGTTCTTGTGCCAACTGAAAAGAAAACAGTCTTTTAGAGCCTTTTAGTGCACACATTGTACCCACATGTCTGACCACCATGCTGTGCCCATACGGAATAGAAAAACCTTTAAAATGTTTATTTAAAAATCAGCTCAATAGTTGTAAAACTTCTAAGTGGATGGGTATCGCTAGATTTATTTTAAGCACTTCATAATATATAAAGCTCAACTGAACACTCAATTTAAAGCCCCACTCCAGGCAAAAACTATCTTTTAGCCCTCCTATCCAACTTCCCAATAACTTAAAGTATAAGTCAGGATTAGGCAACTGCAGCCCTTCAGCTGTTGTGGAGCTACATGTCTCATGAGGTATTGCAAGACTGACAGTTAGAAACATGACTGCCAGAGGCAGAGGCATGATGGGAAGACTGACAGTTACTCCCAGAGGCATGATGGAACTGGTAGTTTTGCAACAGCTGGAGGACAGCAGTTGCCTATCCCCGCTATAAGTCTCCCTCCTCCCCTTACCTTGTAAAGGGGGAAATACTTCCTAAGGCCAGGGAGTCCCCCATCCAGGTCCCATACCTCCATTGTTTCTAGGTGGGGAACCAACAATTCATTGGTGTGATGTCCCTGAGATTACTAGTCTCCTGTCATGCCCCCCATGATGATGTTGTCATCTTCTGCATCCTGAGAGAACCTCACTGCAGCCAATCCGGAGCATCCACAACAGGCAGACACTGATAAAAAAAGGGCCCAAACCAGAAAGTAAACAGAAGAGAAGACAACTCAGGGCTGGATTGTCACATGACCACAACTAAAGGTAAGCAAAAAGGGCATTTAGATAGGGCTATGTTTTTTTGTGGTGATTATGTAGAGGGGGGTGAGCAGTAGAGGTGGGAGGGGAACGGTTTTTAACTTAGAGTGGGGCTTTAAATCAGCTAAATACATTCCAGGCACATCAAAACAATGTCATATAGTTTGTTTTTTTTTCTAAAGAAGCAACAGCATAAGTTGAAAAGCCTGTGCCCTGCCAGCAGCTGCAGAGTAGGACCTTTGCTATCTGTGGGTAAGCAGCAATCCTATTGCAGAGGCCCAACACACCTCCTACTGAGTCAGATCCATAGGTTTGCATTCAGCAAAGCTTATGTATCCCTTTGATTGGAGAGCTCTGACTCAATGTGGGGCTTGTGGAAAGACTACTGCTTCCCCATAAAGACCAATGCTCCATTCTACAGCTGCTGGCAGGCGACAGGCTTTTCTACTCAGGAGCTGATGTGTTTTTTAACCACTTCAAGTCCGAACACTTTTACCCCCTTCCTGCCCAGGCCAATTTTCAGCTTTCAGCGCTATCACACTTTGAATGACAATTGCGCAGTCATGCAACACTGTACCCATATGAATTTTTTTAGCATTTTTTTGAGATAAAACTTTATTTTGGTGGTATTTATTCACCACTGGAATTTTTTTTTTTTACTATATAAATGAAAAAGTCCAAACATTTTGAAAAAAAGTGTTTTTCTTATAAAACTTTGCAAATAAATAATCTTTCTTCATGAATCTTGACCAAAATGTATTCAGCTATCTTTTTAGCAAAAAAAAAAATAACCCAAATTAGTTTATAACCAAAAATTATAATTTTTAAATTTTTTTATTTATTTCAGGTACTTCTATAGCGCTGTCAATTTACGCAGCGCTTTACACATATATACAGTCAGGTCCATAAATATTGGGACATCGACACAATTCTAACATTTTTGGCTCTATGCACCACCACAATGGATTTGAAATTAAACTAACAAGATGTGCTTTAAACTGCAGACTGCCAGCTTTAATTTGAGGGTATTTACATCCAAATCAGGTGAACGGTGTAGGAATTACAACAGTTTGCATATGTGCCTCCCACTTGTTATGGGACCAAAAGTAATGGGACAGAATAATAACCATAAATCAAACTTTCACTTTTTAATACTTGGTTGCAAATCCTTTGCAGTCAATTACAGCCTGAAGTCTGGAACGCATAGATATCACCAGACGCTGGGTTTCATCCCTGGTGATGCTCTGCCAGGCCTCTACTGCAACTGTTTTCAGTTCCTGCTTGTTCTTGGGGTATTTTCCCTTCAGTTTTGTCTTCAGCAAGTGAAATGCATGCTCAATCGGATTCAGGTCAGGTGATCGACTTGGCCATTGCATAACATTCCACTTCTTTCCCTTAAAAAACTCTTTGGTTGCATTTGCAGTATGCTTTGGGTCATTGTCCATCTGCACTGTGAAGCGTCCAATGAATTCTGAAGCATTTGGCTGAATATGAGCAGATAATATTGCCCGAAACACTTCAGAATTCATCCGGCTGCTTTTGTCAGCAGTCACATCATCAATAAATACAAGAGAACCAGTTCCATTGGCAGCCATACATGCCCACGCCATGACACTACCACCACCATGCTTCACTGATGAGGTGGTATGCTTAGGATCATGAGCAGTTCCTTTCCTTCTCCATACTCTTCTCTTCCAATCACTCTGGTACAAGTTGATCTTGGTCTCATCTGTCCATAGGATGTTGTTCCAGAACTGTGAAGGCTTTTTTAGATGTTGTATGGCAAACTCTAATCTGGCCTTCCTGTTTTTGAGGCTCACCAATGGTTTACATCTTGTGGTGAACCCTCTGTATTCACTCTGGTGAAGTCTTCTCTTGATTGTTGACTTTGACGCACATACACCTACCTCCTGGAGAGTGTTCTTGATCTGGCCAACTGTTGTGAAGGGTGTTTTCTTCACCAGGGAAAGAATTCTTCGGTCATCCACCACAGTTGTTGTTTTCCGTGGTCTTCCGGGTCTTTTGGTGTTGCTGAGCTCACCAGTGCGTTCCTTCTTTTTAAGAATGTTCCAAACAGTTGTTTTGGCCACGCCTAATGTTTTTTGCTATCTCTCTGATGGGTTTGTTTTGTTTTTTCAGCCTAATGATGGCTTGCTTCACTGATAGGGACAGCTCTTTGGATCATCTTGAGAGTTGACAGCAACAGATTACAAATGCAAATAGCACACTTGAAATGAACTCTGGACCTTTTATTTGCTCATTGTAATTGGGATAATGAGGGAATAACACACACTTGGCCATGGAACAGCTGAGAAGCCAATTGTCCCATTACTTTTGGTCCCTTAAAAAGTGGGAGGCACATATGCAAACTGTTGTAATTCCTACACCGTTCACCTGATTTGGATATAAATACCCTCAAATTAAAGCTGACAGTCTGCAGTTAAAGCACATCTTGTTTGTTTCATTTCAAATCTATTGTGGTGGTGTATAGAGCCAAAAATGTTAGAATTGTGTCGATGTCCCAATATTTATGGACCTGACTGTATATTGTACATTCACATCAGTCCATAACCCTCAAGGGGTGTACAATCTAAGGTCCCTAACTCATTTCATACATACACATACTAGGGACAATTTAGACAGGATCCAATTAATCTACCAGCATGTCTTTGGAGTGTGGGAGGAAACCCACACAAGCACAGGGAGAACATGCAAACTCCATGCAGGAGGCGCCATGGTCAGGAATCGAACCCATGACCCATTTACTGCAAGGCAGATGTGCTAACCACTAAGCCACTGTGCCACCCACAATAATAATATTTTTTTTTTTTTTTTTTTTTTTTTAACATACTGTCACGCTAGCAGTACAATGTCACTTTGGGGGGTGATGAAGATTTTTTTTTTTTACACTGATTGCTTTTACACCCATAAAGGCTGTAAAAACAATCATTTCACCTCTCTCTCTGCTGCATTCTTGCAGCCATTGAGAAATACTGTGAGAGCTGTATTGGTCAAAGCTTGTCACATGGTACAAGGCTGTTGTGAATAGCCTTGTACCATGTCACCTCTGTCATCATTCACAGATTTCACACGTAGTAAGCAATGATGTCAGCAGTGACATCTTGCTTACTACTATTCATGTGATCACTGATTGGCCAATCAGTGATCACATGATCGGAACCTCACACAGAGGTCCGTACAGCGATCGGTGTTCTGCTGTGTCTTCCGGACACAGAGGGCACCAGATTGCATTGACGCGCGCTCCCAGGGAGTTTGCACAGGCAGGGAAGTGGGAGGATGTTTATAAACGGCCACCCGCTCCTGCACTGCTCCCTCCGGCTGTTTATGTACATGAGCCGGATGGGAAGTGGTTAAAGATAACAAACTGAAAAACATTGCACAGCTTTTGTTTTGATGCACCTGGAATGTGTTAAAAGAGTAACTCCACTTTAGTTAAGAAAAATACATTTCCTGCTGGGTGATCTATGTACATTGCAGGAATTTTAACAAACTTTGTTGCAGATTGCTACATTTTGCTACTCTGAAGAATTAGCTGTTTGTTTGTGTGTGTCCATGTGCAGAGTAAATTTGTATGGGAGTGATTTTATAATCGATTTTATATTATCAATTAGCTTCTGCACCTGCAGGGCTCTAATGAGGAAAGTGGCAGGGACTGCATCCCTTTAGACGTGATTTCCTTTTGGGAATATATCACCAAAAATGACATTTTTGTTGCAGGGGATGCTTAATATTTGACTTGTATCCTGGTGCGGACTTCTGGGAAAATCAGTAAGCCA